TATGATGAAACAGAATATCCCACAAAAATGTATTTAAGGAGACATAAATAGTATATACGTTTTTAAAATTTCTCCTATCTGAAAGAATGATGCACAAGGTGTTCATAAAATGCTGGTAAAATTTTAATATTTAAAAGAGCTTTGAATTTACACAGAATAGAAGAAAGCTATAAACAGATGAGACAACATTTCAGAAAGATTTTTAATAAATTAATTTATATATCTAGTTTTTAACATAAACACCGGCTTTTTACATCATTCAATCTAATTATCCATCTCACTGCAAGCATTCTCTACTTTTGATATTGAATGATTTTTGTGGGTCACTTATGTCAACCTGCACCTAAATTCACTTATTTATCCAACATTAGTTTGTCTATATATTCAAAGATTATAGCATAAGCTCACAAAAAGTGATGATAATAAGCATAGCAAAAAACTTTCCATTTGCAAAAGTGTTTTTGCATTCATGACTTCATTCGATTTTCACAACATTCCTTTGAGCTAAGGAAAGTCAGTATCTTTTTCTCCATTTTATAATTAAGAAATACATTCATATTAGTGATTTTCCAGTTAGTAAGTAGTATAATCTGATAACGTGGATATACACCCTGTTTTTCTCACTATATATATCATCTTCCTTTGGGAAAATGTAGGGACTGACAGGGCTTCTAAACTGGACCCTGCATGTTCACCTATTCAGTCATTCACCTACTAATGACCTCCCATTCTGAGCTAGGCATCTGATGGAGGTTGAGTTATGAGGCAGTCAACGTGAACAGGACAGATACTCTGCTGAAATGTATAGTCGCCGGGCGTGGTGGCTCACGCCTGTAATCCCAGCACTTTGGGAGGCAGAGGCAGGTGGATCACCTGAGGTCGGGAGTTTGAAACCAGCCTGACCAACATGGAGACACCCCGTCTCTACTAAAAATACAAAATTAGCCCGGCATGGTGGTGCATGCCTGCAGCCCAGCTACTCAGGAGGCTGAGGCAGGAGAATCGCTTCAACCCGGGAGGTGGAGGTTGTGGTGAGCCGAGATCGCGCCACTGCACTCCAGCCTGGGCAACAAGAGCGAAACTCTGTCTCAAAAAAAAAAAAAAAAAAAAGTATAGTCTAGTTAAGAGGCATACCTTCCAAAATCACATTTGTATATTAATAATTATAAGTGTTATGAAGCAGAAAGCAGGATGCAATGAGAAAGAACAAAGAAAAAAGGGACAAATGGAATTAATTTGGATAGAGATTAGATAAATTCTCTTTGAGAAGACACATTTTGAGACTTGAGATGAGAAATAGCATGTGCCAAAACAAGGGTAAGATGAGCATTGCTCAAGATCTTTTCAAAAACTGAATAAAGGGACAGAGAGAATTGCTTTTTTCTGAATCGATATATTATTTAAAATAGCTGAGAAGCCATTTCATAACATTTATTTTTTTCAAGAAATATTTTCTGTGCACCTCACATAAAATGCCCAGCATTAAGTGATCTTAAAGGTAACAGACACCACTGGCCTGTGTTGTGTGACATACTCAGTATGCACTACATATGAATTACTTCAATGGATATAAAACATACTAAAACTATTAAAAAAAATGTAATGTTAATTTGTCTCCAGCATGTGCATGTCCAGAGCTGTAAAATTACAGAATTTCATATGACTATTACAGCACTAGACAAGTCTGGGTATAAACTACAAATTTCAACAAACATGTAAAATCAGGTGGTCATTTATCCGATAGTTGTTAAAGGCGCACTGTACTGACTCCACTATTAGTAATATGGCTGAGGTTCTTGTGGAATATCTATAACTCTCTCAGTTCCACAGTTAGAACCAGGCCTGTAGAAGCAATTTTAAGTATGAGCTTAAAAATGACAGAACACATTGAAGCTGCTTCAGGCAAAGGCTCTAATTTTACTTAGTTTTTATTTCCTCATTAGACTAATGGCAATGGAATTAAAGAACTTTCTACATGTGTGGTTATTGGAAGCAAATAAAGGCAGAAGGGGGTCTGGTCTACGCTGCCACAGAGTACCCTCATGTTTAATTTCAATGTCATATTGGAAGTCAAATGACAATTTTTTTATCTCAGATTTGGCCAGAGATGTACTGATGATAATTAATTATCAGCTTAATATTTATTTCAAAATGCTGATATTGTAAAAGGTAGTAGCATTATATAAAATGATCTTCTGAGCTAGTTCAAAAAAGACTCAAGCTATGTCTGAATACACAAGAGAAAATAGTTGTGCTCCAATCCTTCCCTAACAAGAATAGGACAACACCACTTTCGTTTTATCTGAGAGAAGCACTAGTATAAATCACACCCAGAGGAACAATTTGTTTCTTCATCAGAAGGGAAAAGGAAGATGTCTTAGAGCAAAGGAGAAAGAGTCATGAAACATTAAACCTGAGCACATATGCTAAAATATGTATATATATTTTTTATGTTAAAAGATGAACAGTAATCCTCATTTTAACTATAGATACTAAAATTTAGACAGCCAGCAGTGTCAGGACAAGAGGCCAAAAGAGCTTTGGACACAAATGATGAAAATTCATTGGTGACTCACTGTTGTCTGTCTATGGGATTGTGACAGAGGACGTGTTAAGAGGGCAGTAAAAATTGCGGAGGAGTCACACTCTTTTAAACGATATGTCTTTTGCAACATTTTCTTCTGATAATATTCCTTGCTTTCTTGATTGCTTATTGTCCACGTTTGTTAATCAGTTTCAATAGAATGCAATTTTATATTAAAGGACATGGAAATGGCTATAGGTCTTTTCATCATAATTTTCTATCCTATCAGTAGATGATGTGTGTGAATTCAGTACAGTTTATCAATGACACGAAAAAGTATCAAAGGTAAATGTGTACTAAACAACCATCAGTCTTGTATAAGAAGTTACTACCCAGACTCACAGGGAAGACAAAAGAGTTTGAGTTTGGAGTCATGGCTACGTTGTTGCCAGAGCCTGGCCAACTTTCAGGGGTATTTTTCTGTTAAGTCAACAAACTCCATAAAGGGAAACTGCCCTAAAATGTCACAAAGTGATGACCACAACATTATCATCCCATGTTTTCTTCTCTTTCTTAAGCCTTGAGTTATAAGATTATAAACTTTGGACTCCCACCAGTATCAAAATCTACAACTTCTCAACACCAGCAAAATAATTCCCCTTGTCTTCTTTCTTTTGACTATCCCAACAGTCCTTCAAACTGGCTGTATTGGGTTTTCCAGAGAAATAGAACAAACAAGATGTGTGTGTTTATACATATCTATATCTATATATTTATATCTATCTATTTATCTATCTATCTATCTATCTATCTATCTATCTACCTACCAATTGATCTATCTATAGGAAAAGAGAGATTTTCAAGAATTGCCTCATGCAATTGTGGGAATAGCAAGTCCAAAATCCACAGGGCTGGCCTGAAGGCTGGAGACCCAGGCAAGATATGATACTGTAGCTCAAGCCTGAAGTCAGTCTGAAGAAAGAATTCCCTCTACCTTGGAGGATCTCAACTATTTTATTTTTCTTAAGGCCTTTAAACTGATTGGACGAGGCCCACCCACCTTATGTAAACTAATTTGCTTTACTCAATGTCTACTTATTTAAATGTTAATCTAATAATCTAAAAAATACTCCCACAGAAACATCTAGAATATAGTTGACCCTTGAAAAACATAGGTTTGAACTGTGAGGGCCCACTTATACGTGGACTTTCTTCTGCCTCCGTCACTCCTGAGACACAAAACCCATATCCTCTTTTTTCTTCCCCTTCTCAGCCTGCTCAATATGAAGACAAGGGTGAAGATTTTATAATAATCCATTTCTATTTAATGAATATTAAATACATTTTCTCTTATGATTTTCTTGGTTATGTTTTCTTTTCTCTGACTTACTTTATTGTAAGAATACAGTATATAATACATGTAACATACAAAATATGTGTTAGTTGACTATTTATATTATAGGTAAGGCTTCCAGTCAACCATAGGCTATTAGTTACGTTTTGCGGGAGTAAAAAGTAATACACAGATATTTGGCTGTGCAAAGGGATGGTGTCCCAAGTCGCTGTGTTATTCATGAATCAATTATAAGGTCTGACAAAGTATCTGGTGTATTAGTCTGTTCTCACATTGCTAATAAAGACATATTCAAGACTGGGTAATTTATAAACAACAGACGTTTAACTGATTCACAGTTCAGCATGGCGGGGAAGGCCTCAGGAAATCATGGTGAAAGGGGAAGTAAACACATTCTTCTTCACGTGGCAGCAGCAAAGAGAAGTTCTGAGCAAAAGGGGGGAAAGTCCCTTATAAAACCATCAGATCAGATGAGAACTCATTACCACGAGAACAGCAGCATAGGGGTAACTGCCCCATGATTCAATTACTTCCCACCAGGTCCCTGCCTGGACACCTGGAGATTATAGAAACTACAATTCAAGATGAGACCTAGGTGGGGACACAGTCAACCTATATCATTCAGGTATTGTAGACCAGTCACATTTTCACATAAAGCTAATCACTACATTGACCTTCTTAAAAAAAAAAAGAAAAAAAAAGATAAAAAAGATGCTTAGGGGTTTAGGGGTCTTTACTGTGTTTTGCTGGAGCAGAGTATGAAAAGTTTCACATCCATTTTATTTTTGGTCCTCTTTTTTTCTTTTATTGCAAACTTTTGAAGATACCAGAACTTCTATAAATATCAAAAACCAGAAAATAAACAGTGTAGTTATAGGTTCAATTGATGATACTGACTAGTGTGACTTGGCTGTCAAATGCACACTCTTGTCGATAACATAATTATTTAAAATATATTTGGACAATGAAATATTACTTTAAGTATAATCATGTTCTGCCCTATAGTAGGTTTTATAGACACAGTTATAACAGTTATTTCTTCAAATTCACCATATTTTACTAATATAATCTATGAAATAGATTAGTAGTTGATATATAATATATCATTGGAAGAATAAGCCCTTGAACTTATAATTTTACTTTTATTAGTTTGTAGCCTTGAAACTTCAGAGACATTAATAATCAAAATCTCCAGCACTTGGACAGGTAATCACTTGGCTACTTTTCTCAATTGTTTGCTTTACTCTGGGTACCAAATGGAAAAAGTAATCAACAAATAATCATTAAGTACTCTTTGACCATGGTAGTGTAATGACATGTTGCTTGTTGAGAAAATCTTCCTCCTCATCATCTGTACTCCTCTCAGAAAGTGACAGCAAAGACTGAATTTCGGTATCTCTTCCAGAACAGCTGAAAATACATAACAAGATCAATACACAATATACAGAACCAGGTTTCAACTCTTCATTTATCTTCTGATCAATATTACATATGTTGGAGTTGCTGGAGGCAAGCAGATGTGAGGGGGCTGTATCAGACTGGGACCATAATTTTCAGTGTGCCCAATATAGCAAGCCTCCTTTTAATGAGAAATTCTTATCATTCTCCCTCTCCCAAGAAATAAAGCCACAGTGGAAGGAAGGAGAGAGTTTATGGTCTCTGACTGTGTCTTTGTTGATGATTCAGAGGCACTTTAGAAACCTGCAGAGCCTCAGGGTCTTCATTAAGAACGTTCATCATCACATTGGCTGTTTAAAAGAATCAGGGTGAATAGACTGCCAGATAAATCACCTCTTTTGTGTACTATGAATTAGGACTATGTAGATAGCCAGTCAAGATATGCCAAAGCAAAAATTAATGACAGCATTTGTTTGTTATTTTATTTTGTTGCATTTTATTGGTGGCAGCAGGGGGCACTGATGGAAGCTGTAACACCTAAGTATCTAAGGTTTGGGAACAAAGATAGGGTGGGGAGCAGATAAAAGTGTACACAATTAGGACTTTTTTGTCCTAGATAATCTAGATTCTCAACCTATATATGCTGCTAAATAATATAAAATACTTCACTCTGTGATGGATATAACTGTTCATTGGATTACTTTTTACGCTCAGCACATGCTAAATGAGCAGCTTATAAACCACGGTCTGTGCAACAATGAAAATCTCATTGTGATTACAATTTTCACTGGTCCAAGAAAAAAGAGCTAGTGACTGTTTCATGAGGTTTTTAATTTTAAAGAAATGTGCTTTAGATGAGTTCATGCCCTTTGTAGGGACATGGATGAAGCTGGAAACCATCATTCTCAGCAAACTACCACAAGAACAGAAAACCAAACACTGCATGTTCTCACTCATAGGTGCGAACTGAACAATGAGAACACTTGGACACAGGAAGGGGAACATTACACACCGGGGCATGTTGTGGGGTGGGGGCAAGGTGGATGGATAGCATTAGGGGATATACCTAATGTAAATGATGAGTTAATGGGTGCAGCACACCAACATGGCACATGTATACATATGTAACAAACCTGCACGTTGTGCATATGTACCCTAGAACTTAAAGTACAATAAAAAAGAAAAAAAAAATTAAAAAAATCAAAAACAAAAACAAAAAAGAAATGTGCTTTATTCTGTTAGTAAGGTCCCCTTATATTTTTAGTATTGAATGTCATTTGTTTTATAAATGATGAGAATACTTGTAGGTTTAGTTTGTTTTTAATGATTTATCTAAGGGAAGAAAATATCAATCTTATATTGATCCTTTAAAAAATATATAAATGATAATAGAAATGCAAAAATCCAGGCTCGGTGCAGTGGCCTGAGTAGTCGCAGCTATTTAAGTGGCTGAAGCAGGAGGATAGTCCGAACCCAGGAGTTTGAAACCTACCTAGGCAACATGTTGAGACCCTGTCTTAAAAAAAATGTTTTAGAAGAGAAAGAAATGCAAAAACCAAGACAAATAGCTCAATGATTTCCTCCTCCAGAAAGAATAAGAAACCCTTGATTCCCTTTTTACTACAATTTCAGATTTCAATTAAATTTCAATCAAAGAAATTTACAATACAAATAACTTATTTTATACTTGTTTTAGTCTTTCGAAAAGAAATCCTGCTCCTTCTTCAAGGAACTGCAGTGTCAATAATAGACTGAAACAATAGACTACTGTTTTGAAACATTTACTAGTGTAACATACATTCCTTATAAGCCGATCCAACCATCCCTAAGGTCCCTAAATGTATTTTATGTGAGGAAAGAATGATGTGATACAAATTAAAATGTTATTGTTAATTATCTAGATTTGATTTCGAGAAAGAAACTTACTATTTGATTCTAAAAACCTTATTCACATTGGGTAGGATTCTATTAATACAAAGTATTAAAATGTATTAGGTTAATTAATTCAAGTAAGGCAATTGTTTTTCAATATAATAAGAAATGCTGAAGGATTATTATATTCCAAATATCTTTTCATTTTTATGATACATATTGTGCAGTAGAGAACGATCTCTTCACATTAAGGTAACAACTTTAAAAGCCTTTTACTAAATCTTGATAATAGATCAGCAAAGAACCCAAACATTCTATAAAAAATGGTCATATGAAGTACACACACGAGGACAGTCTTTCTATATATAATAAAGATAACTAGTTGGAGCTTGTCAAAATTTTACTACATACTATATTAATATATAAACTGCAGGCTTAACTTACCTCAATTCCTCAACTCCACAGGGATCCCTCACATGTGAGGTCTTAAGGAAATCTGTGGAAGTCTGACTTATATTCAGTAATTGGCTGCTGAAATCTGGGAACTCTTCTGAGGTTAAGCTATAAAGCTTTTCTGAAGTATCTGAAACATTTTATTTCATGCATTGTCAAAACATAAATTCAAGAAACAAATATACAGCATATGGTGCTGAATGTTTACACGGAGTAAATTACAGGCAATAAAAAGAGGGTCAGCATAGATTTTTAATTATTCCTCAATTTTCTGATGTTTGTGGGATAAGTTTAATTTGAAATTCCAAATTGGGGCATGGGTAGCAAGTCATTTTTATCATATTGATTTTAAAATACACATTACATTTACAACTGTGTCAAATGTCCTGATACCTCACAAAATTTCAAAAAAAAAAAAAAAAAGTGACCCCCTAGAATATTTTGCAACTCGTCAACCTGTTGGACATTTTATTATCTTTTTTCTTATAAGAAATAAAAGCTTTACTC